ATCTGGGAATTTTTGTTTCGCAGGTCATGTTGTTGCTTTACGTGGCGCATATTATTATTCACGCTATGTGGCGATTCAAGATAGACCCGGATAATTCCGCCATACCGTATCTTACAGCTTTGGGCGATCTTTCGGGAACGATATTTTTAGCAGCAGCGTTTTGGTTTCTCGGAATAATACATCACGATTATACAGGCAAATAGGGATTAATTGGTGTGGAGAGATTGAAACATAATGAGAATTTTGTATGAATTTTTCCTTCGAATGTGTGTGATGCATTAATTTGAAGGATGTTAAATCGTATCGAAAGATGTTCGAAAAACGAGACAAGAGAAAACGAAGATTAATTAAGAGAGCGAGTGTTGCGTGGAAACGAGTACAGTGCGTTATTGCGGAACGATCTGATTGATCTGAGAGGGACAAAAGAGAACAGAATTATTTTTCTCTATTAAGGGACCATCTTAATGATACGTTAGCCGCGTTAATTAGTCGCGCACATTGAACGTAGTGGATTAGAAAAAAAAAATATGTCGCTCTTCTTGAAATAGATACATTAATAGGAAGAAAAAGTACAATGACACCGATTCTAATATAACTAGATCAAGCTTCGTCATGGTGTAATTTATTATGATCTAATGATCGTACAGTCCCTATTACATCATAGCAAAAAAAAAAAAAAAAGAGAAAAGAAAAAAAGAGATGAACATTGCAAGATAAACATATTAACTGACGATTACTTAGAGTTATAAGATTAATATAATTTTTTATAAGATTTTAATTATGCTTAATCAAAAAAACAAACTTTAAAATATTTTAAATATAGTAATATATGATTGCATCTATGAATGCACATAAGTATTTTCAACGTAATCGTAATAAACAAAAGACCTAGTCAGTATTTTAACACTGATTTATAATTGCGTTGTAAGATCATAATATTAGCAAAAATTAATTTGTACTATGGTACATATTTTTTTTAAAGTAGAAATTATATTTACAATTTGCAGAAATTTAAAATAGAATGCTTTGTAATAATAATAGATAAAATTAATTTTAAAATACTTTATTAATATTAGAAATTTAAATAACTTCTTGTCATAATAGAACAAGAAAATAATAGGCTTTAAATATTTTATAATTAAATAATTAAATATTTTATTGCAACAAAATATTTCTTTTCCTTCAATCATGAGTTACAGATCTACAATTAAAAAGTATTTCTAATTAAACAATCAATTTGAGATTATCAAAATTATGTATTTTACAAAAACATGTAATGATTGATTTTGTAATAACATATATAATTTATATAATTTAGCATAACTTACCGAAAACAATTTAAACAAAGTACATGTTCATTAAATGATATATTGAACAATGTACTATGTTTTTAGTTCCTTAAATAGTATTATATAATAGTAATATACAAATCTTAATGAAAAACTTTACATAGCGACCTGTGATTTAAAATGATAGCTCTTATAAACAAAATATGTAAAGAATTTTATTCTTTCAAATAAAACTTTATATTTCTAAAGTAATAGTTTTTATATTATATTATATAATAATACAATGAAACGAAATTTATATTGCTAAATGAAATGCTTCTCATAAAAATCAATATTATTAGTACTTTAGAATTTTTTATTAGTATTTTTTATAGTATATTTATATATATATATATATATTAATGAAAAAAAATTGATTAAAAATATTCTTTCAATAAAAAATAATAATAAATAAAAACTTTTAGTAAAAACTGGAATATATATATTACATCAATCAGAAATCTAACCTATTTAATTATATAGAATTTACAGATATATATTCTTTTACATATATTATCATAATATTTGTATTTTAAAATTTTAATAAAATTTTACACAATACATAATATAAAATATTATACAAAAATCTTTCATAATATGCAATATTTTTTATTATAAATATTAAAATTTTGATTAAATAAAGTGTACAGTGTACATAAAAGGTTATGTTTTTTTGAAGATTTGATAAATTTCAATTAGAATAGAAAATAACTTAAAATATCACATTATAGTTATTACGTAATAATCATAAGCAAATAAGTATATTTCTAATATCAAATAACACTTTATCATTATTTATATAGGGACTACTTTATCATATCGAAATGTAAAAATGCGCGGGAATTTAGTAATTTGGAAACTGTTTTAAAATATTTCTAAATATTTATTAATAATTAAATATTTAATATCAACAAAAATTAAGTTTTAATTAATCAATGTCGATATAAAATATTTATAAAATATATTTTAGTTACTTAAAAAAAATATATAAATATAAAAGAATAAAATATAAAATCTTGACATTCTTCACAATAACTTATACATAATTATTAATACAATTAAACAAATTAAAATTCATATAATTATATAATAAATAATTATGTAATAAATTATTGAAAACTATTAGATTTCTTAAATATAACCACAAACCTCAAACCTAACCTTTGAAAACCATTCAACTGTTTTAGGAAAGAATCCAAACAGTTTGTGGCTGCATTTGAAAAAAACACAAATATTTTACACAAATAATATAACATAAAATAATTTTCACATTGTTTAAAAATCACAATCGTTTATCTTTTTAAAAATTTTCTAACAGCAGTGATGCAACTGTGTTTAACCCGCCGAAAAAAAGCAGTCTTGCGCATACAACGATGCGCAACCATTGGTCATCCTTGCGCGCGGTACCTTCAAAATGAATAAAGGATGATTGCATCGCGTTCACCGAAATGAAAGTTCTACCATGTCCCTGTGCGAGTCCTTACGAACACGACCAACTTGGCCTCTGCAAGTGGGGTACATAACAAGAAGGGGGATGCAGGAACTCATGCGCGACATTCTCCTAAGACATTTAAAGTGGAACAGTTCCTGGTTGTATCTAGTAAAGACGCTACGCGAGTTCTTTCCGATAAATACCAAAATTTCTCTTTTTTGTAAATAATTATCTGTGAATAACATTACAACAAACAGTGTGAAATTAGTAATCGAAATTCTGCAAGTATTAATCGCGATGTCGACGGTGAGTGTCACGACACGACTACGGATATTTTTTTAAAATAATTTTCTATATTTTTGTGTATATAGTGATATTTACAATATCACTAATATAATAATTTTATCTTGAAGCATCGAAATGTGTGCTGTGATTGAAAAATAAAAACGTGATAGATACGCAAATGATGAGTATTTTTATATAATGAAACAAAGGTTATGCGTTTCTATTGTTTCTATATATTTAATTGAACGTGATATTTGACTGGGTTAATTGATAGAACATTGCTCATTGATATGACTGACGTTGACTACAGCTGACAAAGCATCGGTGTAGAGTTAAGATTTCCTCGATTATTTTCACTCGCGACTTAATGTTATCTTAATTAATTAATGCCTAATATTTTGTGTTTATATGCAACATATATTGTGTTTATATTTTCTAAAAGCAAATGATATTTTCAGCGATATTTTCCGTATATATCGATTCTATAAAAACATTTATTTTTATTTTCATTTTTTTATTTTCATTTTTTTTTTTCATATTTTTCATTTTATTGCAATAGTCTTTTTTGTTTGGAGAAGCATTGAAAATATACAAATGATTTTTTTTTCATTAAAAATTTCGATAAAAAAAATATTATATTTAAAACATACAAATTTATCTATTAACGTCTATTAATGTATATTAACATTGAAAAACTTTTTATCGTTATTGTATTATATTTCATTTTACTACTTTACAATGAACCCAGAATAATAAGAACCATTTTGCGAGTGAAGGTAAGCAAAAAGAAAAGCGAAAGGGTGGTTTAACACGCATCATCGAGCATATGAATGTCTTGCTATTTTAAGCATAATAACGTTCGTGTCAAGCGCAAATATGTGAATTGTGTAAGATCGAGTTTTGCATATAGAATTATTGCATATTAGATCAATATATTTCGAGAAAATAGATATATATACACGATACGTTTCCGAATCAATATTTTATTAACTAAATAATTGTTAATCATTGGCATTCCATTAATCGAAAGTAAACCGAATTTTGAATTGACATAATCTTCAATATAAGTGATAGTTTACTTGGTGAAATAATGGCACAATACACTAGGTACATTCGCGAACCGGTAAATCCGATGAAAACTATAGATATCCAAGTTGGCCAATATCGTCGAATAATTGATTCGTGAAGGAAGAAAATAACCCTATAAATCGGTCAGCGATAAATAAGGTAGGAAAGATAGAAAGAGAGCGACGTTTCACTTAAAATATGAACACTATTTGGACGTTTACTTTCTACGGACGTCGTATTCGAACGTACAACAGAGTGTCGAAATCGCGAATAGATATCTATGTAATCTCCTTGCAAGACGCGCCATTGCGAGTCATGTATGAGCGAACCAATTCACAGTCATCTATTGCGTACATCTGTAGGCACACACAAATCTACCAACACATATAAATATACACACACATTATACATTGTTACATATACGCGTTCGATGATGTTGCTTTTATGATCACTTTCAGATTCTATTTTAAACTCGCTCGAAGTATGAAGTGTTCGTGTCAAAAGATAATTATTTATTTCAGTGGATATTACTTTGCGTGATAGTCGATCGGGTAACATCCGATTTGCTTGTTTAATAGTTTGCCTAACACTTCTCGATGATGTACATCACAATGACAATAATATACGAGTCGAGATTGCAAACGAATCATTTATGCCCTTACATCTCCTATTACATCTCCTATTATTTAGATACATCCCTATCTTGTACATATCTGTAATGAGATATGTTCCTGCATACCAGCCAGGGGCAGTGATTATCGTTTATGAGCACCAGATTATCTGACTATTATTAGGTAGCACCACATAGAGATCGCAATTAATTTTTGTCAGACAAATCACTCGAGAATCCGCAGTTCTATTTCAATCTCAGCAGGACCAATGCTATGTCATCATCATTTCGTAAACACGGTTCAACATTTACGTCTTATTCGTTTCGGTCATCCGGGTTGGTTGAAAGCGTTGAAATATTAACTTCAAATACCTTGACCCGCTTTTATGTTATCGCTATGGAAAGAACACTTCCCATGGTAAAAGTGAAATGGATTATGTATATTTTGAAATATATGTATACGTGTGTCACAATTGCAAGGTCCATTAATTTGCGGTCAAGAAAAAAGAGAAGGAAAAGAAACACGCCGATTTATATTAAGTTAATTCTGAATACATGTTAACTTCGAATTCCTGAGAACGATAATATACGCATAGTAGACGCATGAACATTCGAGAATTTTAATTACAGATGAAAATGGTGGTCTTTCTAGTTGCAATAGCAGCAACTAGAGCTTTGCCTCTCTCGAAAGTGCACGTGAAATTTATTTCCCCTCCGCATGTTTATGAGCACGGTATTACAACAGATGGTTAGTTTATAAATGTAATTATGCAGCATATCGTTAAAAAATCTTTCATTAACAATATTATTTTTTTATCTAACAGGAGATAGAACAATAGATCAGAGATCCTACGTTTCTATTGGACGAAAAAGCGCAACGGGAAATGCTAAAGAATATGGTACGATATTTCTCTTTGATAAGAATAAGAATAAAATGCGCAATCCGGTAATTTAATAGAATTTATCATGCAATTCACAGGACAACGTTTACGTAATAAAGATATCGTTGCGCCGGTTCATATTAAACCGGAAAATGCTGAATCTCTATGGCCTGTAGGCGTTTTCATTCCACCGATTGATATCAACGATCTCGGCTATAGTTCACAAGAATCAAGACATGCGACACCTGATTTCTCCAACGGACTTGGTAAATCATATATTCGAAACACAAAAATTCGCTAAAAAAATATATAAGAATAATTTAATTTTTGAAAGTAGATGAAAAGATATCCGTCTTATGGTATTTCAGAATATCATGACCCGTATCTGTTGACCGGTGAGGAAGCAATGCTAGCTGTAAAATACCTTTATGATCAAGGTGAATTATTTTATGATGATATTCCTCACGAAAGAGCATTGTTAAAAAATCAAGAAGAAAGAAGACGAAACGGCCTTCACGATCATATATTAAGAAGTTTAAGGTTAACTTCTTCATTCTCTAGGAAATCATAATGTACAGGAATTTTATTTATTTACACTAATTTTATTTATTTGCATATTGACTATTGAATCATAAAAAGATGGAACATCATAAGTGAAATGTATATGTTTATACTTATTATCATTTGAAAAAACAAACTTGTTTCGCATTCTATAAAGCTAATAAGAATAATTATATATTTTTTTTTTTTTGCACAGTCGGAATTTTAATATAGCTACAAGTGTAATAAAATGACTGTGTATTGCGCTATTAATATAATAAAACATTGTACCATTTTCTGTACAAAGTTTTACAAATATTTATTATGTAAAATGTATATACCTCAGTTTGTGATTATCATACATAAAATACGAAGTTATAAATAAAATTAGAGTATATTTTTACAAATCTTTTGTTTGTTTAAATGCAATATTAACAAATCAATATCGACTAAACTTGAAAATTACAAATATCACGTCATATACATACAAAAATGAGGAACATTTTATACAATAATGTACATTCAATTCAGTTCAGATATTCTTATATATACCATCGAAATAAAACGCAAAGCGCTATTAAAATCAAACCATTGGAAACGTTTGTTTTCGATGTTCCATTGCATAGATCTCCATAACAAAGACACAAAAACACTTTTTTGTACTTCCACACGGTGTACGCGCATCTTTCCTCTTGGTCATCGGGTCCGTTTTGAAGACAAAGTCTTTGCGTGGCAGTACCATATTCTACAACCAAAAATATTCCTTATGAAACAATCTTGTATAAATTTAAATATATCCATATCCATCGAACGCTTACCATTGTCTAGACTCTTCCGTTCAATTATTTTGCCGCACCATCCAGACACGCAAGGAATAGTTTCCACACCTTTTTCCATTTTAATTGCTGTTGTATTCATAGTGAAAGGATCTTTACACGATCCTAATTCTCCTCTTGATCTACAACTCACACATCTTCGAAGAATTCCTACAATGAAAAGTAACACTTTTACTTGTACATACATATCAAAATTGTTTGTTTGAGTTGTCAAAATCGTCAATTGCAGAAATAGTAAATATGTTTGCAATAAAGACTTCTATTAATTCATAATTTATGAAAAGAATTCGTTATTCGATATGCGGTGAAAGTATAACATTATTCACAAAACATACATGTATGTATACATAAATGCATTCTATGAAACTTACCGATTGTGTTCTGAAGTAGAATCAAACAAAGAATCGTGGATATTAAGAAAACTTGTGTTTTTAAATTCATTCTATATGTTTGCAATTATGTTTATTTTTATTATCTCACTTGTGAATTGGTACTAAGGGACGATTAAACTCAGCCATTTTGAAACTAAACACTGACTACGAGAAATGGACACGTACTCCATGCAGTCTGTCCCTTCCACTGCCACCTTTCACTCGACTACCTTTAAGGTCATCGTCTTTTTAAGAAGTTCTTGCAGGAAAAATCGTACGAAGAATGAGCTCAGTCGGTAAGCAATTTGCACAATTTGTTATCAGCAATTTTTTATCGATCACTTTTTAAATTATGGATTTTAACCGATAAGTGGTAATTCTTCTTCGCGTTTAAATATATCCTCTTTCGGAACAGTTTGCTCGAATTTATGTCTGTTTCTGTACGTATAAACTAAACCACTGCAGTAGCAAAACGAGCAAAGTAGAAATATGAATCCTAAATATCCTAAGTGACGTAAAAATTCTATAGAAAAAAAAAATATAGAATCAAATTTTCAATGTCTTGATCTAAATGTCTTTATAATTAATTACAAAGTTTTAATTTCACCTTGTGTTAGTAATCTAGCTTTAGAAATAACGATGACTTTTACTTGCAACATATTCACGTTATTAACATAGCATGTGTAGTTTCCTTCTTCCTCTGTCGAAACATCTGTAAACAAAAAAATATGAAATATATAAAATATAAAATTTATATGTATATATGTAATAAAAATACCTATCAGATAGAGCGTTCCAAAGGCATCTACTATCACCCGAGCTTCTGGATCCAATTTTCGAGAGGATCGTCGAACACCCTTTTCCAATGTAATCGCATCCTTTTTCCATGATACTTTCGTATCTAGAGTTGCCCTATGATATTTAAATTTTTTTACGAACAGTTACGTTGTTGATTCAAAATTAATAAATTACTCTGGACAAATGATTGTAAGATAAGCTCCTTCTGCGAGTACGAATCGTCTTATATGTTTATATCTATCATCTTTTTTCTTTTTCACACGAGGACAATTTTTACACGTTTCCTTTAAAATAAATTCCGGCAAATGGCGCACCGCGCTACTAATGGTAGGAAATTTTTCTTCGAGTAAAATTGATCTTGAAAACAAATCATGATGTTACGGATACAAATCTTTAAATTAAAATTCATAAGTTCACTCACTTGCACGGTAATGATGATGATTTAAGGAAAAATTTAACTATAGATGAATCACTCTTGTTCGCAATAGTCTGTAAAAAAATATATTTTACTGAATCGTTTTTAAATCTGATAATTCATTTTGCTTACCATATTGATCTTTCGTTTTAATCGACAATTTCCAACACTTGATCTATATCCTCGATTATCTATACAATGTTCACATGGACCCCAAGATGCCCATTCAGAAGTAACTTGAAGTATTATTCCGACTTCTCGAATTTCTGCCAATTCAGACATTTGTGAAATCTAATAAATAAATAAATTACGATGCATAAACATTAACATGAAAAAAAGATGAACATTTTATTTAAATATTTCTCTATATGAATTATGAATATAGTAAAATTGATAACAATCTTACGGCAAATCGCATGGTAACCGATGCTAAATATATTTCACGATATTTTTCCCAATCAGTAATATTTCCTTGTTCGACATATACAACTCCATGTTCCTTGAAAATTGCTGTAAAACAAATTTGATTAATTATATTTAAATATGTAATTTCGTCAAGTAATTAGCAAATTCAATAAAAATATTACGTTCAATTCTATAGTTAAATTTATTTTCAACTTCCTGCCCTTCTTTACCATGACATAAATAAATTCCGGCGTCTGTATTGTTAAGATTTTTAATTACTAAAGAAAGATCTGGAGTAGTATAAATTCTATTATACGATGAGTTATTATCCATTCCTAATTCTATCTCTTTCTTGGGAGTCTCCTTGTATCGATCTTGATAGTACCAAATTTTTGACTCTGAAAGTTTCTCCTCTTTGTCGTTGCTATCTTAAAAAACAAATATAATAAAAAAATCTTTCTTTTTTTGTCAATAAAATAATACTTTATACCAAAATCGACATTCCATCACAACAATTGTATCGATCTCGGCGCTAATAAGTAAATATTCATCATTTTCTTCGGACGTTATTAATCTTTCCTTATTTCTACAATATTTAGTAGGTGCCACAAATTGATCGATTGAAACAATATCATCTGTACTAACTGATGAAATCATTAATAACCAAAAGAAGTTTATTTGTAACATGTTAAGTTAGGTATTAATATTATAATAATACCGCTAAATTCAGAATATAAATTGCTTAATTAATTAATTTTGTAACGACATGCATAATATTATGCATAATATGTGAATAATATTATGAAGATGTAAACATAAATAATTTTATTTATTTAAATGATTTTGTATATTTTTAAATATATTAATTTATTAAATAATTATCGAATGTTTAAGTATTTTAAATTGCAATAAAATTAAATTTTATTTTATTATAGTACGGCATGCTGCGCTCAGTTTATTGTACATTTAAAAAGTCCGTAAGGTCCGTTTCAATATTCAAAGATTTTTTCTATCCAATCAGAGCGTTTGGAACGATGGAAAAGAACCACTAACGAAATTCACCGCGAAGCGGGCGAGCTCGAAGGAAACACATACCCATAATGCATCATTGATAGCAACATGGCGGAGATGATTGAAAGTGAGTAAAAGTTAACTTATTCTTGATAAAATTAATATAATAAGAGTTAATTAAAAAACAAAAAATAATTATATAAGAGTAACAAATATTTCAAGTTTTATGTTAATAATACATACAATCTTTCTATAACATGTTAATAATCTTAGAGACGGTGTTTTAATTGCGCTCACAAAGGTCTGGTTTAAAATTTCAAAAATGACCAATACACAATTCAAGCGGGACAATGAAGATCTTTACCGTTTGAGATTTCATTCACTAAACAATACATTGAAAACAAATACTTGACAATATATTTTATAGTTTTTACAATATCATTTATTGTATAACTCTATAATTCTAATATGATAAATACACATACTGTTTACGGAACTACATACAAGTTTGGTTATGTCGATAGTTAAGAGCAGAATGATTTTCTTGATTTTTTCCGAATTCTTGATTTTAATATATGTATGTATATTTTATTAATAGAATTAAAGAAAGACAAAAAAAGTTAAATTTTATGATCATATATTAATATTTATATCTCATGTTATATATAATTTTATACATCATTTTTTTTTATATTATAAATCTTCAAAAACTTATAATATATAACATTATCAAAGAGATATCTTAAATTTTTTGAAAATAAAAATAAAATAGAATTTTTATTAAAATATAGAATTTATATTGATTATTGATTATATCATTTAATATTTAAATAATTATAAATACAATGTTTAGAATTAATAATATATTCTTTTTTAATTATAAAAGATTGAGCGAAATTTAAAATAGAAAAAATAAAAAATTAATATTATTTTATTATATAAATATATTTTCTTTGATATGTATATGTATAATTTTCTTTTCTTAGGTGAATCAGCTGAGACATTGTTATCTATAAAAAATGGAGGATATCCATCAATCGATGAAATTAAAACTGAAGTGATCGATGATGATACAATGGATATGGATGATCAACAAATTTCAAACAATTCAACAGATTCACACATGGACACAGAAGAATCTGATCCAATTCCTGAACTTGGTCCTGCAGCTTTAGGTTTACAAAGAGTAGGTACTCAACCTCCTCCAAAACCAAATCCTCCTAGTCAACCAGTTCAAGTTTTAAATCGAAGAGGGATGCCAGCAAGAATTAGAAAAAAAAATAAATT